ATGTTGTGCTTTTTATTCTAGGTTGGTACTTGTCATTGATTAGTCAACCAAGTTATAAAGTATACGGTATATGATGAGAGACTGTAGGAAGAATCAAAGATCTGCTGATTATCAACCTTTGGCAGTGCCAACTGGTGTAAGAAGTAGACGACTAGTGACTGTAGAGCCAGCTCTCGGATTTTATATGCTAGCCCAGGGTTTTATTATTGCCCTACAAGCAGAATATGTTCAGGGATGGGTTTCTAGAATTCATAATTACACACTGCCAAATAACGGTGAAAATGGAACGTGCTCTATAAATAAATCAAGTTCAGAGAGTGTGTTAGAAGATAAGATCCAGGCGGAGTCCTCTCGATGGTTAATGTACCTCACAATAGCCAATGCCTTGCCATCACTTTTCACGACGCTAATCTTTGCATCTTGTAGTGATTCTGTCGGCAGAAGATTCGCTCTTCTGTTGCCATCGTTTGGACAACTTCTGAATATGTGCGTCTGGATCCTCACTGCACGATACGCTCTACCTCTGGAGTACTTGATTGGATCGATGTTTCTTCGGGGACTTATGGGCAGTTCAACACTCTTCATCACTTCCTGTTTTATATACATCTCTGACATAACGACAAAGAATAACAGAACAACACGAATCATAATTGGGGAATGCGTGCTATTGTCAACCACTGGTATCTCCCAGTTGTGCGCCGGATATGTTCTCCATAAATATGATTTTGTGGTCGCCTTTGCTGTAGCAGCCGGACTATCTGGAATGGCATTTATTTATTTAGCTTTACCGTTTATTTTACTCGAAACAGTGGTTAATAAAGGCAATGTTATATCGGCTCTGAAAACATCATTGAGAGGAATTTTGATTTTAACATTTAAGAAGAATGTAGCGTATAGGAAGACATTTTATATACTTAATTTCATTATGTTTACTGTGTTTATGTTTTCAAACTCAACTGTATCGCTGCTATCTATCTACTTTCTCGGAGAGCCATTTTGTTTTTCGTACCTGGTATCTGGTTATTACACAACAGTACTGTTATTTACTCCTGCTATAGGTAGGCATCCATTTATATTCTCTTGACTTACTTTTTCTCCATGGTCTGTAACTATAGGTTTTTCTGGCGATGAGGATACCTTCTCAATTATATGTGTATTAAGTATTTAATCCACAGAGTTGTAGACCCTGCCTTCAGGGAGTCAGGCTTGGACCTCCGTTGTCCCACGCTACGACGAGGTCGTGGGACGAAAAATATTAATATATTCAAATATCGTTATCTAAC